GCCTGTAATCCCAGCACTTTGGGAGGCCAAGGCAGGTGGATCATGTGAGGTCAGGAGTTTGAGACCAGCCTGGCCAACATGGTGAAACCCCATCTCTACTAAAAATACAAAATAAGTCAGGCGTGGTGGTAGGCACCTGGAATCCCAGCTACTCGGGAGGCTGAGGCAGGAGAATTGCTTGAATCCGGGAGGCAGAGGCTGCAGTGAGCCGAGGTCATGCCATTGCACTCCAGCCTGGGCGACAGAGCAAGACTCTCTTAAAAAAAAAATAAAAGGAGCACCGATGGATGAAAGCAGCAGCTAACAGCTCTGTGATTCAGCCAAACCTAGATATTGTGCCCATTCCTTCCCCTCGGTCCATTTTCTCTAGCCCCTTTAAAAACCAAAAAACAGGCAACTTTGAAGTCACGTTGGGTTTAAAATAAATAGTGATAATTTGTATAATCAATAAAGGGTTCAATCTGCTCTTACTATGGGGACTTTTCTGAAAGCTGGCTTAGCGGTGCCTCGGCCAGAGAACATTCTGTGTGGACTCTGACAGTGAAACAGGAGGCGTAGTGGATGAGGGATTCTGATCTCCAAACCCAGCTCAGGGATTGAAGCTAACTACCGCCACTCCTTCCTCTCTGGAAGAACAAAGAGCCAGTACCCGGGACTCTGCCCATCCCCGAGAAGGGGTGCCTGATTTCTTACGTCTAGGGTGGCTCCTCCATGCAGATCAGACAGGACTGAGAGCAGACCAGCCGAGACCAGCATGACCCACACAGGGCAGGTCTGAGGCTGCTGCCTGATGCAGGGTATGGCACAAACCCTTCCTGAATTGCCTCGGATAAGGAGACCTGGTTCCCTATTGACAGAATGCCAGGGGAAATGCCGCAAGTGCACAGCTGGAAATGGGATTCCTTCCCCAGGAAGAGCACTCGCAATAACCTGCCGCAACCTGCCTGCTTGAGGGTGACAGCAAGTGTCTCACTTCTTGCCAACTCCAAGTCAGATTCCTAAAAATAAAATAGAGCTGCGCTGGGCCATTTAAGCAAAAGCCTTAGAAACATGGACACATGGAATGCTGGCCTACATGACGGGTTCGATTACATTTTATATATTAAATAAAAATTCCCAGTTTAATATTCATCAGAATAGCCTCTTGGACCCTCGAAGTTCCACACCTTTGGGAAATACAAATTTCCTTAAAATAAAGGGATTTTTTGTGTGTGTGTAAATAGCTTTCATCTTCTCCATCTGGAAGTGATTTCTCCCTGCATGTCAGAGCACAAAATACTGCCATTAATTAGAGCGTTACTGGATGTCATTTGCTAGAATGTATTTCCTTACTGCTGACAGAAAACAGAACAGACTCTAGGAAAGAATTAGCAGGCCCGTGACCTTGGCCCCTCCCAGCGGCTGCCCTCCCTTCCCTGACAGTCTAAGGAAGCAACGTGTGGGAGCAGAATGTGGCCGACCGAGCCCAGTCCTGGCCTGTCCGGTTGCAGTAGAGTCTGTAATGTGTAAAGTGTTTTGCTTCTGACTTGGAACCCTTCTTGCTCTGTGAATTTCTATCCTGTGAACATTCCCTTCTCTGTCCTTGCCGTTCCCCTCACAGCCTGCTCCTCCAGTGACTGCCAAGTGATTTCTCTCCTGCACGCGTGCGTCCATCCTGTTTCCTTAGTCGCTGGATGGACGTTTTGCCATGAAAACTCTTTGGGAAGTCCTGTGTCCTTTCAACAGTGGAAAGCTGGCTGCAGCCCTTCCATGAGGCTCCAGGATCATTACCTCGTTTCCATTCTTTCTTTTCAACAGCTCCCCATTGTACTAGGGAAGCCAAGGGATCACCCTAATGAGAAAAGAACCTTCCCTGTAGCCCACCTGGAAGGGCATTGCCTGCCAGCGCCTTCCTTCTCAGCTACGTGGACAGGAGGGAAGAGGAGGTGGTGATCCGTGGGACATGAAGGACGTGTCCACTTGAAGTGAAAGCAGCCTGGGATTGGAAGCGTCCACAGAACACCTGATCTGCAAGGCCTTGATCTGGACCTGGCGCTTTGACACTGGGCGAGTCACCGATCCCCTGAGCATCTGTTTTCAATATTGGTGAGAGGGGATTATAATGAATATTGGCTGTGAAGGTCACACAAGACCGGGCTATATGCACTTGCTCTGCAAAAGCCATAAGGCAATGTGAAGTGTGTGCGTGATCACCTGCGGGCAGGAGCCTGTGGCTGTCTTGCCTGGACTGGCTTTTTTAAACATGGCCGAGTGGTGACAAATCCTGCGGCCGCATGCAGACTGCATCCGCAGCGAGCTCAGCATATCTGGTCTTTGCCTTTTTAGGTCATGGCTGTGATTTCCAGCCTACACGAGAGTTTTAAAAGACTGAGCAGGATCCCCTTCCCCTGGCAGCTGCTGCTTCCGTAGCATTTCGGGACAAACCTGCAGACACTGAGAAGAGAGCTTCCTCCCTCCTGGGGCTGGTGGCGAGGCTGCCTATTGTGGAAAACAGGGCACATCTCCTGTGACTGCGAACCCCAAGGGTTGCCGGAGGCTCCCTTCCAGAAAACTCCCTTAGGTGTCTGGTGACCACAGAGCAGACACTTCTCCCGACAGGGACAAAAATTCTGCCTGCCCTTGTTTCTTTTTCTTTTTTGTCCTTTTACTTATTCTTGATTTTGTTTGTTTGTTTGTTTGTTTGTTTTTGCTATGATGCCCAAAAAAGTAAGCAAGTTTAACTTGGGACAGGCAGCTCTAACTGGGAACCCTGAGCTCGCAGGCTTCCCAGTTTGGATTACTTTCCAATTGTGTTTCAAAGATCTTTAGACTTTTCCCAAGGCCAGCCTAATCCTTGTAATCAGCCCAAAAGTTCCTCTCTGGCTCTGTCTGTCCCCTTTGAGGGTATTGGCTCAGAGAACCTGGGGCGATATGAGATGTTAAAATAAAAATAATGTCCAACGTCTGGGGCGATACGAGATGTTAAAATAAAAATAATGTCCAACGTCTCGCCCCCGGGAGTGCTGCTCACTTCATTCCAGGGCTCCAGGAGCTTCTGCTCAGTCATCAAATGGAATTTGCACAATTGTCTTCCTCCTGTTTGGGGTAATTTTTCAACAAGTGAGAAATTAAGAACAGCTTCTCAACAAACTTCCCTCTACTTCCAGGGCCAAGAAAAGTATTTGCAGAGTGGGCTGCAGCGTTCAGGGGTCTCAGGTGAAATGGTGGCAAGAAACCCCAGCTCCCTTCACGTGTTTGCTGTGTGCTGATGGAAAAGGAAGGCGTTTCTCTGCTGCCAAAGAGACCCCGTTCCACAGGGTTCTTCACAAAATCAAGCACTGCGATGGACCGACGGGAGCAGCCACTGGAGGGCTTTAGAAGACAAATGGAAAACATATCAAATGCTGTATAAAGAAAACATCCGTTTACACACAGCCCCCCACAGCCTCATACCCACACCCGATATGAAATGCTGTATAGACATCAGTTTACACACACACAACCCCTCACAGCCTCATATCCACACCCAATATCAAATGCTGTATAAACATCAGTTTACACACAGAGAGTCTCCCACAGCCTCATACTCATGCCTCTCACATGCTTGCACGGCCCTAAAGGATCCAGAGCATTGGCTCAGCAGCTG